TTTGCCTCTTTGCATTCCTTCTATATGGCTTTTCTTACTTCCCCTGTCGTTACTGGTTGGATGTCAAATTCTTCTGGACTATGATTGTTTCTCACGATATCATCCTGGTTGTTTTGACTTTTGTACAGCTCTCTGTAGAACTCCTCCGCCTCCTCGACTATCCTATTCATATTGATAAGTGACATGAACATGACAATGAAGTAACATTGTACACTTATATGGAAAAGCATGCAATCACTGTTTTCTTCCGTTTTACTTATTCTTTCAGGATTGTTCTTAGAAGTGCTTATTGCTTCAGCTAAAGCAAAGCACCGACTCAAGGCACAACACGACGGACATATTCAAAGTACGGTAAGTATCCGAAAACAACGTACTGTGATAATTCTCTCGCTTATCTGAAGCATCCTTCGCGATTCATTCGTGGTAGAATGCGGTAGCTTACTGCATAGTTGTGCAGATTCGCCCATATTTCGGTAATATAGGTACCCGGAAATATTCGCAAAAGAGTCAAGAATTCTTTGAACTTTCGAACTTACACCTTAATTTTATGGTGCAGTGCGTTTGTTAACTGCCTAAGAAATTAACACCTACAATAAAGCGCTGTGTTGCCTCACCTCAATCTCTAGATGGTTGGATTGGAATATATGGGGCAAAAGTTCTGCGACTTAGAGCACACAATCAACTCTTGAACTTTGAGTGTCCTCATAAAACAGCGGATTCAGGTGTATCTGAATTTTTTTCAGCAATCGGCATGAGAGCCTGCGACAACGGGTGATCATTGTAAACCAAGCTTATGCAGAAAGACAGCTCATCTAGCATGCCCAAAGCTATGACTAAGAGAATTTGTGTGAAATCAGTGAACTTAAAGGGATTCCAGCAGTTGCTCCATGGTTAACACAATAGAAATAGCAAAAAAAGGCGTCTGCTGCTAATATGGGAAATAACATACGTCCCTAGAAAAAGTTGCAGTTCGAGAAGTATAGGCAGCACAGGTGTCCAGATTTACACACAGGGAGCCGAAACTCCGTCCGCCTAGCCTAAAGCTTTTTACTCCCCTTCATCCTAAACAAAGACGGTAAATTATTTTTCATTACTTATCCTGACCGTCAGTTCACTATGAAGTTTAAGTCAGCTGGTGCTACAATATCACAGACATTTAATATAACTCCTAATTAAAACCTATTCAAATATTGCGCATACTTGAAGCACAATGTCAACACGTCAATAGTCTGAGGTGTAGAAAATACTGCCAAATTCCGTTTGGTTTTAAATGCGAAGCATTTCTTAGCGAACTTCGGCGACTTTGAGGGTATCTATCTGTCTATCTATCTATCTATCTGTCTATCTATCTATCTATCTATCTATCTATCTATCTATCTATCTATCTATCTATCTATCTATCTATCTATCTATCTATCTATCTATCTATCTATCTATCTATCTATCTATCTATCTATCTATCTGTCTATCTGTCTATCTAGCTGCCTACGACATCCAGCAGTCCTGGCCGCTTCGATAATGGTATCGATACCAAACTTGGTATGGCGTAAAATGACTGTATGAAAAACGTATTTGCCTAGTCATAACAAGAAAATCATGATGTGGAAGTCATGATTGTCATATTCAACATTTCATTGTCCTGCAGCTTTTGCGGTGGTTTTGTACACATGACATGTTGCAAAACTGATATGGTATGACATTATTGCATAGCAAACACAAGCGCCAGACCCTAACATGAAAATCATGACATGCGTGTCATGTAACAACATGACTACATGACACGCTCATGATGCGCTCTCGGCCGTTTTACAGCGTCACATTTACCAAATCGGGTATTACAGCACTTGAATGGATGACAAAGGTATGTGACTGGTGCAAGCATGATAATCATGAGATGCGTGTCACGTAACAACATGACTACATGCCTTGCTCATGATGCGCTGGCGGCTGTTTCGCTAGCTTCACTTATACCAAATTTGGTATTATGGGACGTGACTGGATGATGAAAGTATGATCCTGGTGCAAACATGATAAACATGAGATGCGTGTCATGTAACAACATGACTACATGCTACGCTCATGATGTGCTCACGGCCGTTTCGCTAGGTTCACATGTACCAAACTTGGTATCACGTGACGCGAATGGATGACATAGGTAAATGACACATACAAACATAATAATCATGACATGCGTGTCATGTAACAACATGACTACACGCCACACTCATGATGCGCTCGCGGCTGTTTCGCTAGCTTCACACTTGCCAAATTTGGTATTACGTGACGTCAATGAATGACGAAGGCATGTGACTGGTTCACACATGATAATCGTGAGATGTGTGTCATGCGAAAACATGACTACATGCCACAGTCAAGGCGCCAATACATTTCGACGTGACACGGTGCGTGTGCTCGCTGGCGTTCATGTCGACGCGTCACGCCGGCGTGGCGACGCCAGGCGCTGGTCCTGCCATATACTCGCAGGCGCGCGCCGCGCTGCGTTCCTATGACGCATGCGCGTTTCAGCGCGTCCGGCGTCCCTCCATCACGAAAAAAGGGTGCCGTAGTGTTGTCTGGGTAACGCATCGGTGCGAAATACAGCATGTGGCATTTCGCACCTGTTGCCATCGGGCCGCGCCGACGGACGCTGATCGCGCTGGTCGCGCCTGTCGTCAGATTATAGAGTGCTCGCGTTTTGCTAACGTAGCGTCGCTATGCCCAGCGGGCGCACGCGTCAGCGCTACATAGGAGTATATTGGGCCCTTTTTTCTGCACTCGTGGCCATTTTGCTAACTCCACATCTACCAAATTTGGTGATAAGTGACGTCAATTGATGACGGAAGTATATGACTGGTGCAAACATAATAATCCTGACACGCATGTCATGCAAGAACATCACAACATACCACGCTCATGGCGCGCTCGCGGTCGTTTAGCTAGCTCCACATATACTACATTTGGTATCACGTGACGTGAATGGATGACGAAGGTAAAGGATTGATTTGATGGATATGTGGGGTTTAACGTCCCAAAACAACCACATGATTATGAGAGACGCCGTAGTGGATGGCTCCGGAAATTTCGACCACCTGGAACCTGGGGTTCTTTAACGTGCACCCAAATCTGAACACACGGGCCTACAACATTTTCGCCTCCATCAGAAATGCAGCCGCCACAGCCGGGATTCGAACCCGCGACCTGTGGGTCAGCAGCCGAGTACCTTAGCCACTAGACCACCGCGGCGGGCAACGAAGGTAAAGGACACATTCAAACATAACAATCATGACACGGAAGTCATGTACGGCATCATTGACCTCCACCTCGTAACGTTGTGGTGATTTCAAAATGTCATATCAACCTTTCTCATTCGTGCTTCGCCTATAAGCGATTCCCACTCTACGTGGGATATGCCAATTTTTTCTTTGGTTCCCTTAACATTACACTTAATCTTCTTGGGTTTTTTTTTTCATCCTACGCGTTGCTTAAGTTTTCTGATTACGCGCAACTATGTACAGATGAGCAGATAATTCATGTCTCGGGAACAGTGAACCAGAGATTTAGTTTGGTCTAGGTCACACCAGAAAGCTTCGTACGTGTATACGCACGCTTCTTCGTATGGGCGTTTCGCTCATTTCCACCCTTAACAAATAAACTGCCCAGCGCTGTGAAGAGTTTTGTAAGCTAATTTGGAAGCTTCTAGGTCGAAACTTGCATGAAACGAAAGATAAAGGTAGCATGCAGGTACAAGAAGACCAAGTCTGTGTACTTGCGCTATCTCCATACAGGTGTAACCAACTGTCTAAAGCAAAGTACAGACTGTTTCGTGAAATATCGCTCACTAAGGACTGCCTTTTCATCGAATAAATCATGCCGTTTATTGCAACGCAAATGGGGGCATACGCAACAAAAAAAGAGCAAGCGTAGTTTTTTGTGTTGCACAATCACATACAACTAAGGAGGTGAAAGCCAATGGGCTAATAATTTTACCATTGTCTCGCTGCTTCCCGGCGCCTCTTTCTTTAGTGCTCTCGAGTGGCAAAGACTTTCTCGGGAGTGAAGTTCACGTGGCGAACACGAGGGAGAAGTAGAGCCGGGAGTAATAGACGGCGCAGCAGACACGCACGTGAGAGACTAGAACAATCCCCGAGCAATCATGAACTTTCGGACTTTTTCTTGTCTCTCCTGTCATTTGCAAATACTTTTTAATAAAGTTTTTTAATCAACCTAATTGCCTTTATTCATTTGGTCATCCGTGACACCAATAAACCTTCGTGCACCCATTTCAATCGATGTAGAACACAATTGCAACTTGGGAGCCAATCAACATTCGGTAATAAGCTCTGAATTCTTGGTGTTTCAAGCATTCTTTCATTATTACTGAAATCTCAGGGGGTCGAGCTTTCTATACTCGCGTCTTGTCCGGTGGCCGCCGGCATATACACCAGCATTGCCAGTGTACACTTCTCCGGTCGCCGCTCCAGTCGCCTCTCCGGTGATTCCAACAATGCTCACTAGATTCCAACAATGCTCACCACCCAAGGCGTCAGTTTTCGATGGCCCCCGCGCTCGCCTCCTCGCCACTACATCCACGTCTTTCTCCTCACTTCCTAATCACGGCAGCACGTGACAAGTTCCCACGATGAGCGTTACGCACGCTTAGCAACTATTACCGACGCTGCATCTGCGAGCTTGGTTGGCCCAGACCAACGCAGAGTTTAAGTGCTGATGCTCTCACAGAAAAAGGCAGCCAAGAAAAAGAAACTCAGAAAACTTCTGAGGAACAGTTACACCAGAAACTTCTGGACGAGTCTGTCTACATAATATATCTTCCTGCCAAAGGAAAGCAATCGTCGAAAGCAGTATACCGAAGGTGACGAGTTCACTGACAAGAGCGCGGAACAAACGTCAGAACCACCACAGGAAGACCAAGCACCGGTGAAAAGTTCGATTGACCTACATCAATTGACTTGGACCTGATACAAGATCTCATGAACAAAAGGTGTGTACTTAGAAAGAGTGTTTATTGGTGTTCTCCGTCATCTGTCGTCACTTTGGGGCGTGGATGATGTTTAATATTGTGTAGAATATGAGGAGTTCCCTTATCATCATTTGGATAAGAAAAAATCAGAGTGTTCGAATTAAGTAGAGGCTGACCATGGACTTCGCCATTACGGTGGCTCATCGTTTCTTCAAGAGATGCTAGATGCCGTTCAATACATCTTTGCATGTTTCATCGTCAAAGACGGGGATGGTCATGTCACAATTGTCCTCGAACTGGTCCATGCATTCTTGCGGAATGCTGTGAAGGGTGTCTTTGTCGACCCATAAGCCACAGCCTGTAAGAGGCAAAACCTGTTTTCACTTTTCCTGCTCCCAGCACATCTCCGAAAACTGGCCCACAACTTACTCATATGGTGTTGAGATGGAATTAATGTAGTCTCGTCATTACAATGTGCGATAGTGAATATTCCCTATCATTAGTCACCGTCATTTGTTGTTAGCTGGTACTATAGCCTATATCAGTTTTGATGATAAACACTAGTACAACTGAGCCCATGCTAAAGAGGGGCTGTAGATTAAGCATGGTTGTTCAAGGAAAGGGAGTCATTCAGAGAGAGCTATGTTGTGGTGCCGTTGACAATGGTGCATATTTTCTGTCAGAACCGGCAATACGCCGTTAAAAACAATAACGTGAGTTGAAGAGGCCAAGGAATACATTCCTCTAAAGAATAAACACTAAAACGCCAGCACATTGCGCAGATATTTTGGTAGCTAGCAATGGTAGTAGCACAGCTTGTTAATAAATGCATTATTTTCCTATGCTTGAGCTTTACTCGAGTGGTTCTTCCTGAATCGTAAACACCCCAATTGTATACATCTATACATAGCATACGCACTTTGCCAGTACATGGACTGTAGTGCTGGCTATCATTGACTAAAGGCTCGTCATGTGCCTTACGGGGCAATTTTTTTATACCCTGGTCAAGTCAGTTACTGGTAAACGAATATGCATGCATCTACGAGAACAGAAAATATGGAAACTAACAGTTCTCAATGTTGGGCTTTCCTCACAAGTTACAAAGCTCATTTCTAAGCGCGTCACTCTTGCGGCCATGACATAGCCCTTATGAAATATTTAGCCCAGTGCCTCGCCTCCTCTTTTCTTGCTCGTACAGCCGAGGGTCAGAATCTAGCATTCTTGACGCCTTGGATAGCGAAGGACTGTTTCTTCAACAGAAGACATGGGCGATAGTGACGCAAGCACGCTTAGCTTGAGGCTTGATTCATGCTTCCCTCTCCTGATTTTCAGAATCCTCCTTCAAAATTTGTGGTGGCTAATGCTCTCACGATCATGCTTTAGGGGTGTGCAGATATGATTTAATACCAACGGTAACATTGTCACTGCTCTGGCACACAAAGTTGTGCACCACATTCTTCAAGATTGCCATCTCCCGGTGGCGAGTAATGTCTTTGTACAAATAAACTTATTTGTATTTCATAGTTAGCAATGCCTACCTCCTTATCAACACTAAGCGCCGAAAATAACTCAGCAATTACCGAAAAATATTTCATAGTCTTGATGGCACCATTATCATTCGACTTTGTATGATGGTTTCAAATGATTGACTGATTGATCTGTGGGGATCAACGTCCCAAAATCATCATTTGATTATGAGAGACGCCGTAGTGGGGGGCTCCGAAAATTTAGACCATCTGGGTTTCCTTACCGTTCACCCAAATCTGAGCACACCAGCCTACAGCATTTTAGCCTCCGTCAAAAATTCAGCTGCCTCAGCCGGCATTCGATCTTGCGACCTGCGGGTCAGCAGCCAAATAACTTATTTACTAGACCACTGCGGTGGAGCGATGATTACCGAGGGCTGTGTTATGTTGCAACATTCCCACCTGCACTCTGCTGAGCGAACACCAATGACTGTAGAATAGTACAATTGATTGAGCCTTACTTTCTTTGTTCTTGTACGGGATAATTGCTACAGCGCAATTTTTATAATTAGTGTAAATAACTTGCGCCGTTTGCTCTCCATCGGCACCTGAAAAAAATGAACGAATATATTAAAAACAAATTTTCAAAGAAAAGTGTAAAAACACGGCTTTTTCGGTAACATCACCGCACTTGCCTGGGGGATGAAGGAACACTATAGCCTAATTACGAAGAGAATTTTAGCAAAAAAATTACATTAAAATTTTCAAGACCTAGAAAATATTGCAAAATTTTACGGTATTCAACAGGAAAAAGTACAAGCCAGTGAAATGGCTCAACATATATGGCTCAGGAGATTTGAACTTTGAACTGTATTACTAATAAACAAATTGCACTAATGAATAACATGTTAGCAACATCTGGATCCTTAGCACAACATTAGTATGAATCGATGCAATTATAACATAGATATATTACAGGTAGTAGATAGAGTTATACAATGAATGGTATTTTAGCTCAAGATGCAGATTGTTTTGAGGAGCATATCACTTATACACAGCTACAGAATACATTGAAGAAGAAAGATCTGACTAATACACAACAGTTTTGGTTTGCATACTGAGCATAATATTACATTTATATTTCTGTATATCTGTTAATAGCATTCCTAGTCAGCATACAAGACATTTTAACATAATGTCACTTTTCATCATTTCACTAAACATATAAGTAGTCTAATAGAGCTCTTTGTTATGACGTTTAAGCATCAATATAAAAGCAGTATGTTGCACTTGCAGTGGTAGGTGATTCTACAATTACACTCCTACACTATTAAGCCCCCTTTTCCATAACCAATTTTAACCAAGAGTTTTTGGAAATTACCGAAGTTATGGGCTCTTGTTTGCAATTGCGAATGCATAGAAAGGCAGCGGTGAAGCGGGATATTGGATGTTAGATACCTATACATCATTATGTAGATTTTTCATTTATTACTATTTGTAGAGGCATTACCTGATACTGTCGAAAGAGTGGTTTAGATGAGACAATATAGTTTGCATTTCAAATAAATCGAATACCACGTTTTTGCGGTTCTCTAAGTGGTTGAGGTATGAGTCATATGTATACGGCCCCATGATTCAGTTCAGTACGAAACTTGGCTGTGAAAAAGGTCGAAGTATATTGTTCTTAAAATTTCCGCATCGAAGTACTGGTGACATTTAAAAAGCGTATAGCAGACTGTCACAAGTTTTTTTTTTTTTTGCAAAGAGAGTCCACATGTTTTTTCCAGCTGAAATGATTATTCAACATAATTCCAAGGTATGTTAAGCTACTTACTAAGCATTGTGTTGCCGCCGAAATATTATTTGCTATAGATTTAGAGTAGAAAAATTTGAAAATATTAGTAAATATTGGAGAGATAAATACACGGACGGATGAACTTTATTAGCTCTTTCAGAAGGCACTTTAGCACGTTGCCGGTCGATCCCACGTCGAAACAGAAAAACCAAGTCACTCAGCGATGTCATGGGCACGTTGTACTGCACATAACTGTTGTTCGAGTCCGGAGCTGGCAATAGCATCCTTCTATTTGGACGGCGCAGAGAGAGAGAGAGAATAAACTTTATTGAAGAATTAAAATTACGTGACTAATCCCGGGTGGAGCCCTCTTGTAGAGCCCCACTGGCCACAGCGGCTCGCCGGGCCTGGTCTAGGGTCACCAGTTGGCTCCCCAGTGCCAGCTCGGAAAGCCGTGCCTCCCAAGACCACGTTGTGAGTGTTTGTAGTGAGCGCACCAACCTAGATACTGCATTGGCTGGCCGCTCGGTACATTGGTAGGTTATGTGTGTAAGTGTGGCTGTGTGGTTACTACACCATGGGCATACCCCTGTTGTGTATATCTGTGGAAAAATTGCGTGTAGTTTTGATATGTGGGGGTATGTGTTCGTTTGGAGGCGGCGCCAATCCCGGGCTTGTTGGCTGCTTAAGTTCGGATGTGGAGGGGCGTACGTGCGTCTTGTAAGGCGTTGGTTTTCCAATATCTGCCTGCTTGTTACACTTTGCTCTTCATGATGCCCTATGAGGTGTCCTGAGGAGAGTCCTGCGTCTCGGCCAGTAAGTCCGCGAGCTACGCAGTTTGCCTCCTCGTTCCCCCCCAGGCCGTCATGCCCTGGGCACCAAGTGATGCCATGTGCCTCCATCAAAATGGACCCCAAAATATCAGTGACGCACCTTGGAAGTGTGCCTCTAAGGTATAAGCGACATGCAGCTTGTGAGTCTGTCAAAATATACGCTGAGCGCCCCCTTCTTTCGGCTTCTCTGATTGCCAAGGCTATGGCTGCTGCCTCTGCGGTGGCACTTGATCTGGTGCGTAGGGACGCGCAGGCCACGACTTTGCTTTGGTTAGTCACTGCCAATGCATATGCTTGTTTTCTGGAGCCTTGTGGTGGCGCGGGATAAAGACTGACGTCGGTAAAGTAAGCGTCTGGATCGCTACTTCTCTGCAGGAGTTTTCGTGCTCGCGCTTGACGGCGCTTTTTGTTGTAGAGCGGGTGCATGTTTTTTGGAACTGGTTCCACGATTATTTGATCACGTATTTGCTTGGCTACAATGACTGTCTCATCGCCACAGTATTGAGGGGTGAGAGGGTATCCCAGCCTCTGTAGCAGTGTTCTTCCCTGGAGCGTAGTGGTGAGTCGTTCTCGCTGTGCGATTAGCGTGGCGGCGGCCAATTCCTCATACGTATTATGCATGCCGAGTCCCATGAGTTTTTCTGTGCTTGTGCTGTTCGGAAGTCGCAATGCTGCTTTGTACGCAATTCTGATGAGTCTGTCAATCTGCTCTATTTCGGGCTTGCGTGTTGATTGAAAGGGAAGAGCGAACGTGACACGGCTGAGAACGAAGGCCTGTACAAGGCGTACCGTGTCGGCCTCTGTCATCCCATCATTACTTCGCGCAATTCTAGCTATAAGGGATGCAATACTCTTTACGGTGTGTTTGAGTTTGCCTATTGCAGTCTTTACGCTGTTGTTTTCTTGCACGTGCATGCCTAATATTCGAGCTACTGGGGTCCTGTTGATGATCTGTCCGGCAATTTCTAGCTGCAGCGCGGGTGCACGGTTGGACCGAGTTCGTGGGGGTCTTATTTGCAAATATTCCGATTTGCTAGGTGCGCACGACATGCCTGCAGCAGTGAGGTAGCCTTGAATCATGTCTATAGCGGTTTGCAGTACATCTTGTCGTTCTCCATAGGAGCCCTTTGTTGCCCATAGCGTAATATCGTCCGCGTAAAAGGCACAGCCCAGGTTTGGTACAGTCTCCAGCTGGAGGACTAGTTTCCGGAGGCCGATATTGAATAAAAATGGAGACAAGATGGAGCCCTGAGGTGTGCCTTTCAGTGGGAGGTCGTATGGTGATGATTTGGTACCAGCTATGCGAATCTGCGCCTTGCGATTTCCAAGAAAATCAGAGGCATAGTTGAATATGCGTTGTCCGCATCCTATGGCTGCAAGACCGTCTAGTATGGTAGAGTGCGCAATATTATCAAATGCTTTTTCGATGTCGAGTGCAACGAGTAGATTGTTGAGACTACCTGGCGCTGGGTTAAGCACTTCCTCTTTGAGCAGTAAGAAGATATCCTGGGTAGACACTCCTCGCCTAAATCCGTACATAGATGTTGGTAGAAGCCCCCGTTCTTCTGTTATTGCTCAAGGCGATTGAGTATAACTTTTTCGAAGAGCTTGCCAATGCATGACGTTAAAGAAATTGGTCGTAGCTGATCAAGGCTTCGCCGTTTGCCTGGTTTAGGTATGAGTACAACCTGTGCCAGTGTCCATTCTGCAGGTATCTTTCCACTCGGTGTCCAGACTTCCTGATTAAAGTGGTCTGTGATGGCTTGTAATGCTTCATCGCTGAGGTTCCGTACCATGGCATTTGTAATGCCATCCAATCCGGGCGCTGTATTTCTTTTGAAGCTTTGAGCCGCTGCATAAACCTCAGCAAAGGTTATGGGGGCGTCGAGCTCAGTGTTGGGTTCTCCATTGTATTCTTGACTGGGTGTTGGGCTAACGTTTCGCTTGCGTTCTCCTGTGTAGCGTTGTTTCAGCTCTTCTATTAACTGATCCGGATCACCTTGAAATTCCCCAGCTAGCCGTTGAAGGGTAGCGTTTGTTTCGGTTCTTGTTGCAGAGGGATCCAAAAGACTCCGTAGGATGTTCCACGTCTTTTTCGTGCTTAATGTGCCTTTTAAGGAATCGCAGAAGGTGCGCCAGTTGTTGTTGTAAAGTTCCTTTCAGTATGCGTTTACTTCCTCTGTGATTTTCGCTATACGGAGTCTGAGTTTCTTATTTAGCTTTTGTCGGCGCCACCGTTTCGTGAGGCCTCGACGAGCTTCCCAAAGATGTGTCAAGTGGGTGTCAATGGCAGGTGCGTCGGTAGTTGTTTGATATATCTTGGTGTTCTTGTCATAGAGACCCTTAATGTACGGTGTCCATTGGGCTATAGTTGTTGGCTTGGGCCCGTCTACTTCCTGTTGCTCTCTATATTTAGTCCAGTTAGTCAGTCTGGCTTTTCCGAGCGGGCGTCGCAGTCGAGCTGTTTCATATGTTATTTGCACAATATTGTGATCGCTGCCCAGATTGTCGTCCAGCACACTCCAGCGCATGGTCGCGGCATTGTTGGTTACGGTAAGGTCGGGAGTGGTGTCCCTGTTGACACTGTTTCCTATACGAGTCGGTATGCCCGGTGTCGTGAGGAGTGTGTAGTCGTAGCGCTGTATCGCTTCTAAAAGTCGCGTACCTTTGGGTCTGTCTGCGCTATAACCCCATGTGGTGTGCCAAGCGTTGAAGTCCCCAGTGATGATCAAGCGGTCGCGTGGTTGAAGCTTGTTGTTCAAATAGTGAAAGATATTGCTGAATTCTGCTTTTCTGTCTTGTGGGGGACTGTATATGTTACATATAACCTGCCTCGGGCGTCCTTTCTTCGCTGGCCAGAGCGTTACGATAAGGTGTTGCGTCTCTTCGTTCGGTGCCGTTATGCATGTAGCTGCCAATTCTTTCCGGACGAGTGTCGCAATCTTAGGTGTATTTGGATCCATGTACAGTTTGTAGCCAG